ACTTGATAAAAGAGCTTTTAGAAAACCTGACCGCTGAAAACTCCAGTGCTTAGTTGTTAGTGAGAAAATTTTGCAAATCATATAGCCGAATAGAGCGAAACATTCTGAGCAAAATAAGACGTCTTCCGGTATACTATAGCGCGTTTTCGCGCAATTGCAGGCGATTTATCTCTACCCACAAGGGGCGTGAAAGTTATCAAAATATTCGGGTGAAAAAGCACTATAGCATGCAGGGAGACGTCTTATTTTGCTCAGAATGTTTGACTTTATCCGGCTATATGGTTTGCAAAATTCAAAACATTATTCAGATTAGTTCCAGCTTTCACTCAAAGGTCTAAAACAAGAGAGTTCTTGTGATTATGACACAGTGTAGTGCTTAGATATCATCCAAAAGCTTCTGTTCCATATCTTTAATGACTGACCCCACCTGTCTGGATACTGTGACCACACGGCTCACTTTATAGAGAATTTGAAGGGCTATCCAATGGTATGTTTTCGAACAATACATAAGTTTCATTATGACAGAAAAACGACTAACGGAGTGTTGAAAGTACTAAGATAGGTCAAAATCATTATATCGGATAAGTATTTCAACTACTGACCCATGAGGGCATATTTCTAAACGACTTATTTATATATCATTTTGAAGCTCGTGAAATTCTCTATTGAATGGGATATCTATCGTAGTGGCGAGTTGAGAAACCTTGATCATAGGCTCGTCACCGTTGAAGAGTCACCCACTTCTAGGGTCTGCCGAGAGGTTAGAAATGTTCTCCTGTTCATTCTGCATCTAAACATGAAGGTGTCGATGGAATTCAAGCAGGGGCCGATTCCATCAAATAATCGACCCCGCCCTTTTCTTTTCGGCTTTATTATACATCATTCAATAGAGAATTACACTGATTCAGAATATGTAACTTTTAATTTTTCAGAACTAATTTTTCATGTCGAAAAGCGGAAAAATTCAAAGGATCTTGAAAATCGAAAACTCCTTTCTGGGTGACACATTTTGAATTTTCGTTTTTACGACGGGAACTTTTCAAACTATTTTTTTCTTATTCAGTGTTGAAAAATGAATAGAAAAATGGTATTAGCTCGCTTAGCGGACAAAATTAATCATATGATGAATCCCTCAACTGGTTCTGATCTACTTTAAGTGAGTTATGAATTATTTTTGAAAGATTCCCTCGTTAGCTCTAGTTAAAAGAATAACTTCTAGACCCTCTACCTCGTTATTATTATTCGAAACGAGGTTTGTATCTAACCCTCACTCTCACTATTATCGTTACTCATGTCTTCATCAATACCTCTATCCCTGCGGCTTTTGATCTCTATCACAATTGCATCTGAAAAAGTTTCAGGCGTGAACTACAATCAACAAAGGGTGATGAATCACCAATAGTCATAGTCAGCTTCTAATAGCTATAACTGGAATGAGGAATAGAATAGCGGGCCATGCCATGGCTTTTCTTGCATTTTATTTTTCAAATATGTATGGATTTTGAAAATACTTTGAGAAAGACAAATCAGTTTTATTTCAATAACGAAGTGTAAGTCTTCTAAATTGTTATACAGGTATCGTTCTATTCAGGTTTGCTTTAAGAAGATTCTTTTGATTGGAATATTTATGACGTCCATATAAGCAAACAAGGAAATAGAATATGTTTAGTCGAAAAGAGGCAAGTTTTCAAGGAATTTTACAGGAACATCCGGAAGATTTACAAATTAATATGAACTACCAATATGAAGCTAATGATATCCAAGAAATTTTATCGGGTAGATTGATACAATTATCTCAAGAGTTTTCTCAACGATTCTCAAAAACAATTTCTGTACTAGGTGTTATTGATAATATCGCCGAGGGTCAATTAGAACAACGATTACAGCAAGAAAGAAATGTTGATAAAGGAGAACACATTTCGCTTATCCCTTGTAATTTAGGAGACTATCATTGGATTGGAATTTTAATAGAATTTCAGGCAGATGGACAGATTAAGCGTGCTGAATATATTAATTCATTAAATGATACTAATATTATTCCGCAGACATTACAAGAGCAATTGACTGAAGTTTACCAAGATAGCATTTTTCAAACAAGAGATTTGTTAAAGCAAGACGATCTTACAAGTTGTGGAGCTTATACTATTGAAAACTTAATAATAGCTGCACAAAATTTAGAACTTCCAAAAATCAATACTGAAGAGCTTCGCCGATTACATGTAGAATGTCTAAGAACTTATAACTTAGAATTTTATAATGTCTTTTATATTCGTCAGCAAGACAATCGATCAACGACTGTAAGTCTTTTAGATCATTTGCAAACAGAAAGTAAAGATTTGTCAGGAGTAGGGCAGTTACAGTTGGATGGGATTAAAATACATACTCTAAAATCAGATGCAGTCATTCCCAAAGACGATAATCGGGCAAAGCTTCACGAATTAGAGCAAAAATTGAGTAGTGGCTTGATCAAATTGAAAATTTCAAATGTGATAAAGTTGTCAGAAAATATAATCAAAATAAAAGAGCGAATAAAGGAGTACCGAGAAGAAGAAAGAATGGAAGAGGCCGAAAACGAAGATAAATATTTGTCGGAATTAGAACAGTTACAATCACTGGATCAAGAAATACGCAGTCTGAAATCAGATATATCCATTTCCAAGGATAGTGACGGAATAAAACTTCGTGAATCAGAGCAAAAATTGAGTAGTGGCTTGATCAAATTGAAAATTCCAAATGTGATAAAGTTGTCAGAAAATATAATCAAAATAAAAGAGCGAATAAAGGAGTACCGAGAAGAAGAAAGAATGGAAGAGGCCGAAAAAGAAGATAAATATTTGTCGGAATTAGAACAGTTACAATTACTGGATCAAGAAATACGCGCTCTAAAATCAGATGCACCTATTTCGAAGGATAGTAGCAGAACAAGACTTCACGACTTAGAGCAGAAGTTGACTACTGGCTTGAATAGATGTAAAATTCAAGATGTGACAAAGTTGCCAGAAAAAATAATTCGCATAAAACAGCGAATAAACGAGTACCAAGACGAAGAAAGAATGGAAGAGGCTGAAAAAGAAAGACTATATTTGACAGAATTAGAACAGTTACAATCATTAGGCGATCAAATTGAAGTTTTAAAACATGTTGATTCAAATAATGAGTATCAAACATTGGACAAAGAGCCAGTAGATGATTTGGCTAATCATGACATTCAGAATGTAGAATTGTCTAAAGAAAACGAATTACGGCAATCGCAATTAATACCTGAAAATACGAAATTCATAAAATCTACTGAGAGAAAACCTTTCTCTGAATTAAATCAAAAGAAAAAAGATACTATAATTAACATGTATAATGACGTTTCGTCAATGCCACCTTGTAGTGAAAGAAACATAATTCGTCTCATCTATTATATTTTATTGAAACTAGCAGATGAATCGATACTTTCAGATAAAACTATTCAAGTACCTGATCAAATAGAAGAAAAAATTCAAGAAGAGTTTAAAAACCTAAAAGAACAATTAAAAATAGAAGAACAAGAATCCGAGAAAATTAAAAGCATTGTTGAACAAACCATAGCAAATGCCAAAATTCCAAATTGGGACAAGGTGAAATCTAATTTAGAAATACTTTTAAAAGAATTAAGACCATTTAATATTCAAGAGATGTTACGATTGACCAAGAAAACAGATGAATGTGCAGAATTGATAAAGGAACAAGATATTATCCTTTTATTAGGAGGAACTGGAACAGGCAAATCAACAACTATTCATTTTCTGGCAGGATCTAAAATGGCAGCGACAAAGGTGAATCAATTACCTCATATTGCTCCAATTGAAGTGAGAAATCTAGCATTAAAAAATGTTACAACAAGTCCACATCCTCTATCAGAAACAAGATATATTACCGCTGTGCCCATAAATTTTATGGATATAGGCATGCAGCAAAATGGTGGGATTATCCTCTGTGATACTCCAGGATTTTTGGATACAAGTGGCCCTGAAGTAGACATCGCTAATGGCATAGGTATTATAAGAGCAATAAAGAAATGTAAAAGTGTAAGACCATTATTGTTAGTAAGTTATAAGAGCATTGGTGACAGATTGACTGGTCTAAAGGAATCAGCACATACATTAGTAAGATTGATTCGTGGTATCCAAGACCATATCGGTTTGTTTTCTTATGGATTCACAAAATATCCAGAGCATGAAAGGCATAGTATTCATGCCTCATTGATAAGTATTTTACATACTCTCTCCGAAAGTGAAAAATCAAATACTGCTTTTTGCCTACTGTTAGGAGATATGGCAGAACAAACTGAATCCGGTGCAACTGTGATCGATCCACTTGGAGATGAATTACTGCGTGTCTTTTTGAGAAAGTTGATGAAAACTGCAGCGATCAATCATCCGGATGAAGTATTTCACTTTTTCATTACTGAAGATTCAAAAACAAAAATACAAGAACAATTACGAAAACAGTATCTAGTTATTACTCATGCTATTAAGAGAGCAGATTATTCGTTAATAAAATATAAACTGGATGAATTGAAAGAATTACAGGGTATAATTAAACAAGAATTCATCCAAGAAGTCTATGATGAGTGTATTCGTTTTGTTCGTCAGTATATTAATGAAAGATTTTCAGAAACAATTTCTTTGTTTAATCGATACCTAGAAAACCAAAATGCATTGAGTATTGAAGATGTAAAACAATATCAAATATCCATGGATTACATTGGCGCAGCTGAAATCTTAAGAGAAGTCCACTTAGGAACAAACACGGTACAAAGTAGTGCATTGATTCAAAATTTACTAATTAAAGTTGATGTTATGCTCCAGAATATCCGTGATATAGATATAGACAATTTATCCATAAAAACTCATTTAGACAACATTAAACTTCTTGCAACTAGTTTTCAAGATGAGATTTCTAAATATAAGGAAACATGTGACCTTTTATCCGATCGATTCGCTGAATTGGTTAAATCAGCTAATCACTTTATATTATTAAATGACTTTAGTCATGCTGCAGAAAAAATGACAAAAGTACATCGAGCCGTATCCATCATTGGAGAACATTTAAATCATCATCATATGGAAGAAATGTATAAAAGTCTTATTTCTTCACTTTTAATGCATTTAAAAAGCATTTTTGAGAGTGCAAGTCCATTACTGAAGAAAGCAAGACTTGATGCGAATGATGTAACAACGTTAAAAAATTGTGTATCTATACTAGAATCTGCCAAGGATACAGGACCATTGCAAGATCATGTCCACATACAAGATATTAAGATCATTTATGAGTCATTGTTGTCCAAGATTGTCGACTATTTTGAACAAGTTAGCAAGAAAATAAAAAGTTTATTTGAGAGAGAGAAAGAAAATTCATTTAAAGAAATAGAAAAATTTGTGAAAGAAATGAATGATATTAGAATGATTACAGGCGTTGAGTATAGAACAGCTGACTCCTATCATTGTACTATAGAATGCTTGGTGGGCTACATGCAGCAATTAAGAAGAGATACTGAACAAATTTTAGGATCTTTTCGTCAACAGACAGAAAAAGTCAACTATGCGAAACTTTTTCATTGTTTATCTGGTCTGAAAGATGCTGAATGGATGAATGCTATTCGTCCTGGTGCGTGTACAGATGTGATGAAAAATATTGCCGATGAAATGATTCAATATGCTCAAAACTTAGAAAGAAACATAATGGAAATGGATTTAGATCTCGCACATTATAGCAATACTGAGGTTGCCATAAAACTAATAGATCAAATAGATTCTATGCAACCTATTGAAAAAATTATTCCTGAATTTATCCAATGCAGAAAAAACATTCATTGTCAGTTAGAGCAAGCAGCACATAGTGTGTTTATACATATCAACGAAACATTTAATGTGGAAAAGGAAAGTTTATACAAGCAGAAAGAAATTTTGCGAAAACTTGAAGAAGATAAGGCAAAGTATGATAATCTACATCCAGCTCAATTATATTTGAGCAAAAATGGATATCAAAATGTAGAAGCATTAGAGAATGAGATAAGTCGTATTGAAAATGAAAGCAATTTGCTTAAGAGCGGTCGAGAAATAAGTGAACTTGATCTGGAAAACTTACGACAAACTGCTAGAAGATATGCTGAATTGGTTGCAAAATCCTCAAAGGAGGAAGCTTACCAGCTTATAAAAGATAGTGGGCATGAGAATATTCGAGCTCTCGACCACTGTGTGACAGAAAAACAAGAGAAGTTATCACAACTCAAACAAAATCTTCGTGAAAAGATGGAAAAATATGAGAAAACTTTAGGGAAATTGACCATAATCAAGCAAGAGTACGATAAATTGCTAATAAATGGAAGCGCATCACAGGGAATGCAGGCATTCTTACGCGAGAATGGATATGAAAACATAGAAATATTGGAGAAGAAAATAAAACTTAAGAGACAAGAATCTGTAGAAAAGTTCCAGCAATCAAAGATGAGGCATACACTGCGTGGAAACTTTTGATGGATTTTATGGACAGATATAGTAAGTTTGTTCAAACCGAAATGGAACGTTGTTTTCATCGAATTACTAGTGCGCATCAAAGAGAAATAAGGAGCGAACAAATGTTTAATTATGCTCAACTGTTGACAGGTCGCTTGCAGGAAATCCATGAGTTGGAGAAAAAATGTCCCAATGTGTTTACACTTATTACAGGCCCAGAAATTATAAAGAAATGGCAAAAGTTATTATCAGATAATTTAATTGAACTGAATGATCAAATGAAGCAGTACGCTACTACCCATCAAAATCAACAATTAAAATGCAAACTTGGTGTTGCAAAGTCATTAAGTCAGTTAGATATGTTTTTAGATAAAGATAAAAAATATCTTGATGTATATCGTGAATATCAAGACATGTTTTACCAGGAATTTCGCGAAGTCCATAAACAGATAATGAAATACATTGAATATCATGACTATGCTAACGTTGCAAGTGAAATGTCACATCAAGATGATGATCCTAGTAACCAACGAGCCCTCGATCAAATGAAACATTCACTTTCTGTTTCTGTGACTGATCGTATTGAAGAAGTCGAAACTAAAGCAATAATGCTTGATAATAACATGGAAAAAGAAACAGTCAAATCCATCGTTGATGATCTTAAAAAAATTAAAAATGCCAAAAGATTTGTCTCAGATTATCTTGATCAAACTACTCAGGAAAGACTTAACACATGTGTTGAACAAATTGAATCTATCTTATGTGGGAAAATAATGCGTTTCTTAGACAGCATAGAAGCATTAGTGAATACTAATAATTTTTATGAAGCAGAAAAACGAATGGAATATATTATTCAAATTCGTCATCTTTTGGGCACTTATTGTACAACCGAAGAAGTAACGAAAAGAGTTGAGCAATTACAAAATAGTTTAAACAAAATCGTTGATGAAGTAGTAGAACGATACAAGCAGATGTCTATTCATGATTTTAGATTTAATCCACCAAAGGAAATTTTAGATAAACTTCAACAAGTTGCTTGTCACAACTTAAGATACAATGAATCTTGGAATAAAGTAAGAAATGAATGTACAGAGAAATTCAGAGAATTCCTAAAAGATGCTACAGAAGCTAAACCAATCAGACAAAATGACGTTATTCGAAAGTACGAAGCTGCTTTGTGGTCTTTACCAGAAGATTTAAAAAAAGTACTTGAAAGCGATTTGGACAATTTCAAAAAGGGATGTTGAAAAACAGGAGAAGAATTATAAAAGTGAGCTGGATAGTACTATTGCAAGCGGAGATTTAAGAGTACTTGGAGAACTAATGGAGAAATACATACAACAGGGTATGTACAGTCTTGTTGGTCTAGCTCGTGAACTAGTTTTAAAAGATGTTCAAAAGTATAAGACTAAAATAGACAATGTGATTGATGACAACATCAAATTAGTTTTTAATGAAGCCAAAAAAGTTTTTGAATACAAAGAAGTATTAGGAAAAAGTATTTCGGAAATTGATGGACTATACATAGAAGTTCAGAATCGACTTGCTAGGACGTTTAATAAACTGCATGAATGTCTTATGAGTATTATGACTGTAGAAAGTACAGAAGTTGTTGAAAAAAGTTTTGATGTTTTCGTAGCTTATATGAATTTCAAATCTGAGCTTAGGGAAAATGCACAAGCCTTGCTTGCTGGCAATATTGATCAAAAATCTAATTAACTATGTGCTAGATTATATCAGTATTTCGAAGAAAATCACAAAAGATACCGTGATGGTTTGAGTAAAATGGATATTTCAGAGATTCATGAAGCACTAAACACCGTAAAAAAGTGGAGTTGTCTTCCGAAAAAAATAACACATTATAGTGAAGTTCATACCTGCTGCGATGATTCAATAAGTTCTCTGATGAAACCTGGGGAATGGGGCAGATCTTATCCGGAAATGGTAAGCGCAGTATCTACTAAATTAGGAAACATAAAGAATGAAATTATTAATTGCGAACTTACTAATGCTGATGTAAGGAAGCATCAAGATGAATTTTATCAAAACTTAGGAGCTAAATTAACAGCTATGGACCAAATAAGAGAACTAAAAGAGCATATTAATAGTGACATTATCAATGTAAATACAACTAATCAGGAATGTACAGAAGCACTAAAAAAGAAGATCGAGCGAATGGCTTCAGCTGCTGTAGACATCATGGAACGAGTCAGATTGACAATAAGAGATTATGATCAGTTTAGACTATATTATGATAACTTGCTGTGTTTTGAGAAGTATGTAAATGCTCCAAACATCGATGCCGGAGAATTAAAGGAAAATATGGAACGAAGAGTGTTTGGGAAAGTAGCAGTTCTGCAGAAGTTAGCTAATGAAGCATCTGATGCCAGTCAAATTGCCAATAGCTTGATTAGTATGAAATCTATTTCCAACAATATACCGGCTTTTAAGGAAACGATAGATGAAGATACAGATGAAATATTACAGAATTACAGGAAGAAAATGGATGTAGCCAGTGTCAACACGAGTAGAAAATTGCTCTTCATAGAAATTTTTTGCTAACTCACACATCTCCTTATACGAGGTAATGACCCCATCATTTAATAAGAAATCTTGAATAGGTGTGACGAGGCGGAGAAATGCCGTTTTACTTTTTTACAAAAACATTTTATATTATAATCGTTAAGTGTTTTACAATAATCCCTCCACGATTTTCTTCTATGAATAAATAGTTCTCTCTTCATCGCCTTAATATATATTCTTAACTGACTGATGAAAAACGGATGTTTTGTTCTTCGAGCTAAACTTAAATAAATTTGTTTTTCTTTTATAAGATTTACGACGTGAGGAGGTATAGACGGCCTATACGCATTACAATAAGAAACAAAAGTTAAACGTGACGAGGCTAAAGCAGAAAGCGTTCATATAACTAAAAAACGTTAACCTTATCTACCATTTTCGAGCACAGGTTATTCCAAAACGTCGAGGTAAAAGTAAGAAAAAGTTCAGACAACGACCAGTACGTTCGCTTCACCGGATAAAATCTATCTTTCTTAAATAATTCTAATCCTGATGTCCATAAAACAGGAATGATTGCTACCTATAGAGGAAAGAACTGAGAAAGAAGACGAAAACATGGAAGAAGGTACAAAGATAACATCTATCGTTCCATTTGATCTAGTAGAAATTGGAATATGTTTATTAATAATTTCAAAAGAGTTAACAGAAAGCCAGTTAGCAAGTACACGACCTTTTTGGTTATCAACACATTTAGACCAAGAAGAGTGATTTGCATTTAAGTCGCAGAGAAAGACAGTTTTAGGGTTACGTTGCAAAACTTAATTAAAAAGAAATTGGAAGGGTCTCACTTGGCGGAGAGTAACACGTCACTAATTGAAACTTATCGGAAGATCATCCTATATCCGAAACAATAACATTCAAAAATTTATCGAAATTTGAAACCCGTTGTACAGCAATAGAACGATGAACTGCTATTAACACCCCGCCAAACGTATTGGTACTCTTTTGAGCGAAAACATGATCATTGCGAAAATGCTTAGAAAACAATTTTACAGTGACATTGTCATGACGAGTACCGTTTAAGACGATGATCGAAGTGTGTATAGAATTCAAGAAATCAAACACATTAAACATTTTTTGACAAAAATTCAAGGCAAGAGTCCCCCACTAAGGAACTTTTTGTCGAAAAAAATTTTTTTCGAATTCGACCTTTTTTACTTCTGCTAATATCTGACACATAGTAAGACCATATTAGGTATCTAACTCAAAAAATCAGATGTCCACCTGCTCTATGGAAAAATATCCACTGTGGTACGGTATTTTCCCCTTGGTTTTAGGACAGTGTTTTAGATAATAATTTTGGTGTGGAGTTAGTAACTAAAGTCTTTTATTAAGCAACGCAGTTTTTGACTAAAATTTTTTTCTAAGTAACTGAGTTACTCAGAAAAAAGTGTTAGTTACTCAGATGCTTAAGAGCGGGTTTCTCAGCAAATAAATGAGTTACTAACAAACTGGAGAAAATCACTTACTCAGGTGCATAAAACGCAGTTCTCAATTTGTTCGCAACTCGAAGTGTGTATAGAATTCAAGAAATCAAAAACATTAAACAGATGTGCATTTAAACTGCTCACATTTAACAACATCACAGATACATCACTCTTTATGTTCACCATATCTAGTGTACGTTTTCTCCTTTCATCCCACTTATCCAACACATCATTCAATGTGCCCGCTGAAGTCCATTCAAAAATACGTTTTTGAAAAATTTTTTCTTGATTATTTGATAAATGATCCGCTTGAATTACTAGTGGTTTATTCTGGAGTGGTTTAAATTCTTTAGCATCCGGATTCATGTTGCTAATGAATTAATATTTTCATCATTTGATCGTTCACAGTATTGCTGTACATTCATGTCATCATTACCGTTACCAAGTTGACTAATGGCATTTTTCTCCATATAGTTCATTATTTTATTGTATAGTGGAGTTATTTTTTGTTCATTTCGACTTTTGACTTGACCATATATAATATTCGAAATTTCTCTAGTCAATGGACATAGAATATCATTAGCAAGGAATTTTATGGTCACAATTTCGTTCACATGATTTTTGATTTTTTCATTCAACGTCATGAATTGCTCATGAAGATCTTTCTGATTCTGCATAATTGCCATCGTTGTATCGTTTATTTTTTCAATCATATCCCTTTCTTCTTTCCCATAATTAGTATTATCATTCAGGCATTACCAAAAAGCAATCGACCTGGCCTATTAGCCCAAACATCCTGCTGTTGTCGTGCTGAAGACTGATTATCATTCGAGGGTTTGTTTTGTTGAATCTTTATTTGGCGTCTTTCAATTTTTACCGGACAACTCGGATTACCTGCCATATGCCCCTCTTGACAATGTGTACATCGTATTTCATTTTGACAATTACGATCATAAACATGATTCTGTCCACATTTGAAGCATATGGGGTTTTCTTTATTTGAACAGTAGGCAGCTATGTGATCTTCATATGTTTGACAAATATAACAACGTAAAATACGAATTGGTGGCACATATGGTTAAATTTGGTACGACGTGTATTCATCATCCAATAATATATGTTCCATTTTGAGTATTTCAGATAATTCTTTGTTGGATGAAAAGTTCACACGGACTTTAGAAATTGGGCAACCACCCTTGATAAAAAGCCTTTTTGCTCTAATAATTGTTGAATACCTTTGTTTAAGTTTGTTGTTAAGAGAGCACGGTCATGGTCGACTCTGATTGGCATGGTAGTTTATTCAATTCGGCTCATCTTTTCTGCATAACTTAGCAAAGCCATACATCAAAATGATTTTTCTGGTCTATTATTAAAATCTGAAGGAAAACCTCTCAAAACTTTGTTGTGTTATATGTCTGAGTTGGTCTCTATGAAATATCTGGACTTTCTCAAAAAACAAAAGTAAACTATGTCTACAAGTCTCAAAATAAAATAAACTGTTTAAATCGTGGATAACCATTCTTCTGTTTCACTCGCATCAGTAACTAGTCATGATGTTTATACAAACGATAAAAATTTTCAAAAAGTTGTAATATATTATTACTAGTTTGGTTTAAAAATGGCAACGATGATGGAAATGGTTGAAGTACCAGCTTCTGTTTCTGACAAGGAGATAAATACAAATAAAACTGTAAATAATGGAAACAAGAAAAGAACCAAAAAAGGGACAACGAAATTGGCAACGGAAACTTCCTGTTACTTGTGATTATACCATTTTTATTGATATAAATTAATAAGAAACTGAATAAAAATAAATTAAATACTGAGCGTTTCAAATTATTTACTATACTAAAACTAATTTTTTATAGAGTAAAAAATACTGAGCAATTAAATACAAGCCCTTTTTTTCTGATCCCACTAATTTAGAACGCTCTAATTGTAATAACGCCAATGATATTTTGGTTAAGTCGTCGCATACTTGATTTTGTTTGTTTAAGACGATATAATGACTGCAAAACTTCATTATGTATGGGCTTCGAATAAAATCTTGCTGTTATTGCTCGATGTTTTCCTTTTGTAAATTTACCGATTTGATGCAAATTTTCAATTTCATTTACGTCAAAATCACCCTGTAGAATATCACGTATGAAGTTAACCAATGTCACTGTTGTATTCTCGCCTTTATCCTCTTGAAAACGCACAAAACGCAAACAAAACGATCGACTGTAGCGTTCTTGATCTTCAATATATTCATTTAGTTCTTCCAAATGTTTATTTTGATTATTCATCGACGTTTGGATTTCATCTAATTGTGATTGGAATTTAGCTGGCATGATATCTACTATTTTTTCGGCGTTAACAGCAATATCGTTACCATTTGCATGTAATATTTGTCAAACATCGGCTTGAATAGATGAATCATTCTGTAAGGTTGAAATAAACATTACTTTTAATTGATCAGGTGTACATGTAAATCGACCAGAAATAGATTCAGATTTAGTAGAAGTAGATAGTGTATTTTCTTGGAACATGATTATGATATAATTAATTAAGTTGAATATAAATTTAAAAAATTTAAATATAGCTGTGTGTCTTAATAGTGCTTTTTAGATAGAAGAAAAAACACGTCTGTTGTGCATGTATATTTTACCTGATCATTTTTTAATTGTTATTTCTTGCCATAACCCATTTTGTATATGATATTCCGATATTCTAAACTAAAGATATGAAAAGACCGCTGAAAATGGCGAAATGTAACGATTATATTTAGACGAAAAATTCATCGAGATGCACACTTTCAATAATTTTTACATATACCACCATGGAGCGTAAAACTGGATCTGTTTAATCGTAAACTTTTTTTCGATCATTTTTTTCTGAACGGTACAATAAAATTGCAATTAGCCTATATCTATCTTCTAAGTTATGTGAGCGATGATTACGATTAACATCTAATTTCTTACGTGGTGGTAAACTATTTTGCTTTGTACAAATTTTTTTCAAGGCTATATTATATGCATGATCATTTTAGTTGGATAAATGTATAAAACCTGGGATGAGCAACATTATTAAGCGATGAGTTAAGGCGATAATGCCAAAGTTCAACACTGTTATTCGTTCGACAACTGGGAAAATCAGAATAATTCCATAAAGAAATATCAAATTTCAATCCAAGTTCCAGTGACATAATCAAAAAATGGCGTAATTCCATGAATAGTATCGTATTCATCCATTGTTTGACTCCATAAATATTTCACAGTAGTTGGTGGTATAAATGCTAATGCAGAAGTTTTTTTGTAGAGATTTCTAAGATTAATTTCACTTGGATCATTATTAACACTAGAATTAATAAATGCAGGCTGAAAACTTAAATTTTGTAATTTTGTGTACAAACGTTTATTAAAATGGAAATTACAATCTTTGATCTAGGCATTTGGCAAGGTAATGATATTTCTTTGATCCTAGAATTCGTTGATAGATTTAATGTAGAGAGCAGAATGGATAAGTCTTTCATTCTCGTAAGTCAGGGCAGTAGTATCTGCGGACGAGTAACATTATGGTTATACTCGTGCTCTCGTGTGTTTTCCAAATGATCAAGGACATTCTCGATTCTGTTTCTACGACATGTGTCTAACACTAACGACCGGTGAAGTGCACATCATTCTATTCAGCAAGCTTTAACATAACATAGAGCAATGTGAAGGTGATTTCGACTTTCTGTCATTGTTAGCCCAATGTAGATGTAAACGCCTGTTGAACAGAATAGCGCCCACCTCATCGGTCGCTAGTTAATTCTACAGTGAGTAATTGTTCTTTTCTACTAATTTTATGTATATAACACCCTGAGAATTCGAGACAATTCGACTTCACCGGAGGAAATGAACAAATTCAACAAATCGTGACTCCGTTATTTTCAAATAACACGTTACAGAGAGCTGAAAAAATCGACTATTTTTTGCGCCAGACGGATTCACCTGAAATTTTTGGTAATGAATAATACCTATTAGTTAAACATCATGTTTAACTAATAGGTCTTATTCATTACAAAAAAGTTTCCTAGAATCTGGGAAAGTTTCATTAATAAAGTGCGGACGATTGCAAAGATAATTATTTTTATAGGTGGCGCAAAATGAGTGACATTCATTCCCATCGAACATAACGCTGCTCCATAAAAGCGACCGAGAAGAAACGACAACGTCTATCCTGATTCTTCATGATTTAAAGGTGTTTCAGGTAAGGAGGAAATACTGTACTCTATACTCCGCGAAGTGAACTTTCACTCCGATTCACTCTGGAGTGGACGGAGTGACAAGTAGTATAACTCTTGTCTCTCACATTTGTTGATCGGCTTTCTTCTCAAGAATAGTATGCACAGCACTAATGAATGCTAACAATTCCGGGAGGAAAAGCAGTCTAATACCCAAAAAAATGCGGTACTCATACTACTCACATACCGAAATACCAATTAAATTTTTTACCAAATATCAATTGAACCTTTTGTTCCCCAAAACAGAACAATCTTGTTCTTTCATTGGGGAAATTTCTCCGATGACGGAGCAGTTGTGTTCTGTTCTGGGAGTTCTTTTCCCACACACAGAACCCTTTTGTTCTCTGCGTAGGAAAATATATTTGGGTTTCTGGAGATCTCCTAGAAGGCTGGTTTTTAAGATGCTCAGGGGTTCTCAAAGGAATTTTTAAGCAAAAATAAAAAGAATCAGCTTGACAGAGTAGCGAAAATATCGGTTACATACCGAAATGCGTTTCCACTCTTGTAACAATCCCAGTTCTTGAAAGAAGTGATAATAATAGCAGTTCCTCCTATAGTTCCTAGAATTCGTAATACTTCTAATCCTAGGAATACTACAAATGAAAACAGAATTTAAGAGAAAAACAAAGTAAAACATCAGACTCCATTCACTCCAGGACCACTCCGTCACTGAGAATTACTCCACTACTCCGTTCACTCTGGTTAAAGTCCTCGGAGTGACGGAGTTCGCGCAGTGGGCATTCAGGCGAAAATTTGAGCAAAAATTGACAAGTGAGCTTTTTTGAATTCGAACAGTAGTAAATGTGGTCCTTGAAAAGCGCTATCGAATGGTATATAATGATCGGTTAGTAATGAACTCCTTCGATGAGTAAGTTAACTTACGAACATTCACAAAAAACACCGTTAAATATGACACATCTGCAAAGATTCTTATTTCTATGTACAGACGTACAATATTACCCTATCCAAAGCACATATTCGGAATCAGCACAACCTATTGCATCTTCTAATAATAGAAGATACTCCTTTTGCGTCTTGTACGAAACGAAAAAAGGTTTCGTAGTCTAGATTACTACGGTCCGACATGAGACAACCTCAGTGCAGTGGCAGCGCTAAAAAGCGCTAAGCCTGAACAGACCTTCTAATTACATGAAAATGTTCCTCAGCCTATCGTGTATTTATGATGATCTCGTGCTTTCTCGTCTTTTTTTCTAAGTCGAGTTATTGATTTTACAAAAACCCATAGGGTTTTCGAGGTAATTCGCATTTTTCTTCCCCATAAGAGCACTTTTTCCATAACATAAAGTCATATGCGAAATCACCATGAAAAACTACGTCGAATGATGTATAGTTAGTTAGTTTTACAAATAAAACATCTTTTGACAAAAATTCAGTGCAAGGTCCCCCCTAAGGAACTTTTTGTCGAAAAAAATTTTTTTTCGAATTCGACCCTTTTTACTTCTGCTAATATCTGACACATAGTAAGACCATATAATGTATCTAACTCAAAAAATCAGATGTCCACCTGCTCTATGGGAAAATGTGGGTATTGCTAAAAGACGGGAACAGCTACGAACAGCCACGAACAACCCCAAATTAAAATCTGAGTTAGCCAATCGATAGCTCGTCGAGCTGAGTGTAGCAACGTCTAACGAACACCCAAAAAACTTTTTATAGTCTTTTTAAACATATATTTTGAATGAACGCCCACGAACATCCACGAACACCTACGAACACCCAAAGAACATTCACGAACATCCACGAACACAAAGAAGAAAGGGTAAGAACACCCAAAAAAGTGCGCCAAATCCATCTTCAGGTTATTGCGGCCTGAGGGTGTGGTGTGGGGGTGAAGGTGAGGTGCGGGTAGGTTCACCCACACCACACCCTCAGGCCGGAATAACCTGAAGATGGATTTGGTACTAATGTTAAAATGAGATGAAACATTCGCTCTTTATTAGAGGCTTGGTATAAGAAAATTCAAGTTATCCAACACATTCCTGCAAGACAATTTTAAAAGTTGCTTTAACCGACTTTAAAAATAATCGTGCAGAATTCACTTACAACGTTTTCGCTCATATTGCAAGATAACTTGCATGATAAACAATAAACTTATATTTCGAAACATGGTTATAAAATATTGAGCACCCAACGAAGCTGTCGAATAAAATCAATACATATTATAACCCATAACAAAAAACCAACTACTTTGGCTGTTAGAGCTGAAAAAGAGAAGGGTAGCGCTATTGCCACTCTCTGAGAGTGTCAACAAGAGCTATTGCCACTCTCTAAGAGTGTCAACAAGGGCTATTGCCACTCTCTGAGAGTGTCAACAAGGGCTATTGCCACTCTCTGAGAGTGTCAACAAGAGCTATTGCCACTCTCTGAGAGTGTCAACAAGAGCTATTGCCACTCTCTGAGAGTGTCAACAAGGTGCTAAGATGAAGAAATCTTCTGAATATTTTCCTTGAGGTTCATAGCAAGCAGTTTTATACATTTTCACAGACTAACTGAGTATAACTATAAATAATATTTTGCTTTTTTTTTTCTCTAATTTTCTTTTATACCTAATTCTTGAAAATGAGGCTACAGATTTATCTTCATTAGAAAATGATATTTATATAGTCTTCTCTGTTGAGATTCATACCTATATTTAACTTTTATCAAAAAATATAACCGTCCGCATAGATTAACATTTTTTTTCCGATAAATATTTTCTTATATAAAGGCATGATTTATCTTTATTTCTTCAACGTTTCCAGAGAGCTTCACTTCTAGACTTTGGAAAACAATTCGAAAGCCATCCGTCTTTTCTCTTCGCTACTTTTTCACTATACAGTTTTCCTTAAAAAATAAATATTAATATAAATACTATATATATAATATTAATAAATATTACTAGTTGAGTAGTGTAGAAGTCAAAAGTTCAATTCAACTATTCCAACTATTCAGCTATTCAATTATTCAAGTGTTAATTCAATTCTACATTCACTCTCACCACCCCTACTCCCCTCCGCCCCGACCTCCTGCCTCATTCGTGTTCAAGTGGAAAATTTACCACCTCCGATGCAAAACTGGATAAGTATGGAACGCTTTTTGCAACTGAATATTTGAAAAGTCGAATAGTTTCTATTTTATTCATTTTCAGAAGTAACGAGCTGAATGAATAGTTGAATAAGTGACTAGTTCAATAACTGAAATAATTTTTCAACTATTAATAGTTGAATTCAACTTTTGACTCCTGCACGTATGTACCAGTTGGAATTAGTGTGAGAAACAAGGCACTATGTCTTCATAGACACGGCAAGGGAGTGGCAATAGCTCCTTGTTGACCCGCCCAGGGAGTGGCAATAGCCCTTGTTGACACTCTCAGAGAGTGGCAATAGCCCTTGTTGACACTCTCAGAGAGTGGCAATAGCCCTTGTTGACACTCTCAGAGAGTGGCAATAGCTCTTGTTGACACTCTCAG